CAATTCCACGTCTGGCTGAAGTCCTGCCACCGGCGCCAGCTGTTCAGTCAATGGCTCCACCTAGGCTGAGCAAAATGATGAGGTGATCTCCAAGGAATGGTTATTTTTTCCTGGCCCTTGACTGTGTGTTGTGTTTTTTGATCGACTGGTGAGTGGGCGGTCCTACAGTTACAATCCACAGTGACTTCAATTTTCAACTACATGTGTCACTGTTTCTCTGCAGTACAACCTGAGGGCCTGGCAGTGACACTGCTCTCAGCACAGGGGTGGCCAGAATTTAGAGTAGGAATGCAGTCGAGAATGTCCTCTTCTGAATCTGAATGTGAACTGCGGTAGAGGCCCGCAGCGGGGTGTGAAGGCTGTGAAGTTGGCTCAAAGCCGCAGTTGGTGCGCAAGCTAGTACTGTTGATCTCTACCTGTGGGACACCAAGTTTGCAAAATCTGCATCCAGAGTCCTATCTCACTGGGTACTGCGGATCACTGATCAGTGCTATGCACCGGGCCATTCAGATATGATGCAAATACAAGTTACAAACTAGTCCAATCCAGCTGTTGCTTAGCTCTGCCACAGTCAAAAGTCAGTAACACCCACAACATACAATCGGTGTGTCATACTAAAACCCAGGCAAAACTTCCTTGGCCCTTGCCCACGATCCTCATCAAGAGGGTCAAGAGAGTCAGGCGAGTCTTCTGCAGCAGCAACGCACTCATGGTGAGTGCTGTGATCACCACCACAATCCATGGCAGCGAAACAACACTGGACAGTTGGCAACTACAATTATATATATATACTGATACTCTTATATTAAAATATATATATATTATACTTATATATAAATTACAGACTATAGATAAACTACAAGGTAGCTTCTAGTCTAGTCATGAGTCATGAGTCACAGTAGAACTGCAACACATTGTTTTTCAATTATTTGTTCGCTACTTATTGAAAAATCAGTCTGAAGAATAGGCGGCAGATATTTTTGGTGAACTCGAGCTGGCCTTGATTCAGTTTTGACTCGTTGCGCCTGGGCCCTTTCAACACTGTTGCCTGGATGAGAAGAGAGGAGCAGCGAAGGCAACTGATTGACTACTTATTATCATTGACTCCCGGGCCAGTGACTATCCATTGTCTGAAGCCAATTGGCGTCAACATCAAATCGTCATCGATGGAAGCACCTCGGCTCAGCTGTTTTTTTCTCGCTACTGATGCTATTGTCGAGCTCTGTGGCTCAAGGTTTGTAAGGCCGCAAACTCCCAAGATTGGGCCCCTGCTGTGCGTTGTCCAACTGGACTCTCAACTGCTCTAACCTATGGTACTTCATCACTGCGCTCTGCTGCCCTTCTGAGAGCAGCGAAGCCAAGACGACAAGAAGTCTTGAGTGCTTCAGGCTCATTCACACTCCCAGTGCGACGCAGAGCATCTTGGATGAAAAGAGGAACAACCCGTGGTTGAAAATTCAGGTTTGACTGGGTAGCTTATAAGTAGCACAAACCGTTACAAACCACACAAATCATCAATCAGAAAATCCAACACTGTAGGCTGTAGTATTCTGTTTCGCTGACAGGGAAGCAATGAAGGAAGGGCTGAGTTGACTGAATCACCTGATCACCTGCTAAATACCGTTCATTTCAACCACCATCAGGTGGAACGATGCGACCCTGTAGATCACATCATACGCACACAAATGGTGCGTGCGTGTTTCACACACACATGCTGCAAAAGGCTGCAGCGCATTGTGAATGGACATTGTCATTGCTGAGTTCTCACGATGCAAACCCCGTCGACGGCAAAGTGAGTAGATCATGAATCATGAACAAAAAAGGCTATCCGACAGAGTGACCCAACAGAACATAATCAGTTCTTTGCCCAGTTCAAATCTGATCCAACGATGGTCCATCAACGAGGTGGGAAAGCCTACTGAGCATCCTCTGAATTGCCTGAATTCTTCTTGGCCAAGAATTCGAGCGCGTCTCTCACTGAAGTGGGTAGATCTGACATGCTCAGATCCCTTGCGTGGAGTTTCTCCTTGCAAAACGACAATATTAGCTGACAGTTGACAGAATCACAGCTGGGATGTTGCTGTTCATGCGAAGTCGTGCCCAAGCTGACTGATGAAGATGGCTTTGCGGAGTCGCGGAGTCCTCAAATTCCTTTGCCTTGTCTGCCTTCTCAGATGCGATGATCTTCAAGCCTGAAGTCGGCTTGGGCGCAGCTTAAACTTCAAAGGGTCGCTGACTTCAAAGTAATTATATATAATATAATGAACAATCTATTGAATAAGTGAAGGATATAACAAGTAATAATAACTTACATTTTTACTTTAATATAAAAAGGAAGGGGGAAATGGGTGATAATTATGATTCATGATAAACTGATATGATATATGATAAACCTGATCCCCGGTAACGCAATGTGAAGTTCCATAATTGGCTCAAGGACGGCAATCTGGTTCCGCCCTATACAGTACCCAAGTCCAGTTCAGTCAGTCAGATCTAAACAGTCTTGACCCGACAATCTTTACCAGCCAGTTAGCCACAGTTGGTCTAGCCAATCAACTGTGTTATACAGTCAAGGAACCAGATTGGCAACCCAACATTGCCTTTGTCTCGTGAACCATGGACTCTAGCCCAGCCATGATAGGAGCTGGGAATGCTGGGAACAGAAGCTGAAGCTTTTCCTCTGGTATGTTCTTCGCCTGAGCTTGAATTTCGGCCATGTCCTTGTAGGCCTGAGCCAGCTTTACCTGATCGATGGCTTTGAACTCTTTCTGGACAAGTTCAAGGCTAGCCTCTTTCAGCCTTTCCATCAAAGGCCACATTCCCTTAATGACTTGTTTCACACTACCGATCTGGGAATTCCATTTGACTTGACAGGATGCTTCCTCCGCAGTCAACACTGACTCTGAATCAATTACTGATTTCTTGGTGCCTTCTTCTAGGCCTGCTGCAACCAGCTTCTCCCATTCCCCAATATCTTTTGTCAACTGGTCTAAAGTCTCAGAAGGTGGTTGCCCAGCAAGGCCGTGCTTGAGCTGGGTGAGCAAACTGCCCATTTTGTTGAGCTGCCTCATGTCACAACTGGAAGCTTGTCCAAACAAGCGCTTTCCCAACACAGAGCACTTGTAGAGACACATGGCACCCAGCTCGTGAATCATCTTCTTTTGGGCCTCAGAAGTTGCATCCGCATGATCCTTGCCGACTTTGGCTTTCGATTCGTCAGCCACCTGAGTCACAGTCACAGCCCTTCAATCCCCCACCCATCAAACATTTGGCAGTCAAGCAGCTGCTGCCATTCAAATTTGATTCTGCACGCTGCCACACAGGGAAAAAATGTTTTCAGTTTTCAATCAATCATTTTCTCAAGTCTGCACTGGGTGCTATCAAGTTGCTTGGGATCGGAAGCTCAGCAGCTTTTCGAAAGGCATATGAAATCATCAACACCAAGGCGTGTTTCTTCGTCATGATCGTCATCATCCTCATCAACTCGAAACACGGCCAATGCAATGCAGCAGTCTGCAGCATAGATGAGCCTCGTTCGGATATGGAAGGGCAACCCACAGACCTGGGGGGAACTTGAACGACCAGGTAAATCCGGATCTTCTGATGCCGATGCCGATGTCTTGCTGCAACCCTGGACTTTAACTTCCCTGATGAAGGTGGGGATGTCTGAGCCATCACCTGCGAAGTAGCCCTCGGCAGCATCCGCACCCTTTGCCGCTGCCTGGTTCGCCACATGGGAGAAGAGTTTGGGAAGGATCGCGCCTGAGGTTCGGCCAAGGCATTTAGGAGAACAAAACCGACATAAAATGAAATGACCGGCTGCATGCCGAAACTACTTGGGATCTGACTTGAAATGTGATCGAGGTGACCAAGAGCACCCTCAATGACCGAAGCCGCCGTGTCACGAACATGCTTGTGGCGAGATCCATCGGATGCTGGCAAAGAGGCTGACTTCTGCTTCAACTCCCCTACATCTCGTAAGAAAGCCATCATCTGTGTCAAGGTCACGTCCTCGATTGGGGTGGCCTTCAAAGAGCCGACCAAGCCTTCAAGCTTGGCTGCACCTGACTGAACTTCCACCGCTTTGGAAGCAGTCTCAGCATCCAATGTCTCTGCTGCTACTTCCTCGTGGCAAACCCCTTTCAGCTTCTTGAAGCCTGTCACATTCGTGAGCTTGATCAGGGGCTTGCAAATTTTAGCCATCACCTGTGGACACAAAACTGTTGCTGCAAGTTCCAAGTTGGCCGAAACGTCAACGCGATGCAGGAGGGCCTGGAGAAGTTGAACAGGTGGGACCAGCTCCCTGCATAGCACTGCATCCTCCACAATCATGTCTTTCGGCAAAAACTCCTGCAAACCAATCTCGGCAGTCTGCCAATGTTTTGCAGCACCACTGAAGAACTTTGCGAGCACTTCCCCGACCCACTTTGCCTGCAAGGCGGCAACCTGCCCAGGCAGCAAATCGTCCGGAAAGAAAGACATCGAAAATTACATCAGCATGATTCATCAGTATGAGTCAGCATGGATCTTTCATCTGTTGAATCAGGTTGAGATTCACACGATATTGTAATGTCCAATCGCTGCAACTGTAACCCAACTAAAATCTGAAAGTTGCAAGCCCATGCCATGGCCCATGTCTCGCAATCTCTTGCTTTGACTCTGACACCAATCTCCCAGCCGCAGATAGTCAGAGACTAGACACGGATAAGAAACAGCGTTTGCTGAGTGACAAAGGTCATAGGCATAGGCCAAAAAAATGACATAGACTGTGACATGGCATGGATATAGCAATCCCATCCTAGCTAAGTGTGGTCCTAAAATCCAGATATCAGCGCGGCCTTGTCGTCAAGCAAGGATCCCTTGCTGCAGAAATAAAAGAAATCCGCCATGGTGCCGAACCTAACATGGGAGGTCAGTCAGCTGCAGTTCCAAGTTCAAAAGTTCAAGGTTCACAGTCTGCAATGAAATCGGACGCAGAGTCAGATCTCCTATATAGATAGTCAGAAAATCACCATGAAAGTGAAAAGGCAAAGCGCGACTGTGACAAGTACGTGGCATGCAGTCTCCTGTGAAAAGGCGAGGAGCTTGTAGTCCTTTTTTGACGGGATGGTTTCTCCGATCTCCGCTTTGAGAAACACAAGGGAATTCAATGAGTCCCCCAGACCTTCCGACAAGCCGTCTAGTGCCTGAAACTCCTTGATCTCAGCATTGATATGGTTGCTGACCCATGCCTAGTGCAAGAGCTGGAAAAAAAATCCCCGGGTTCACAATTAATATGAGATCCACTGCAAGCCGATTGCAGTACTCTATATTCCCACAGCCCACAGCAATTCAAAGTTGTCTAGCGTCGGCGATGCCTATGCCTATGCAGCATTCAAGATTTCTTGGGCCATGTGTGTGTGTGTCAGGTGCGATTTCATGAAAAAAAATCACTAAACCCAAAACTGCTGGCTGCCTGTACCCAGTGCACCGGAAGCGGTACCCACAACTCCTTTTTCAAAGACTTCCAGGAATCTTCGATGGCGAACACATGCTCTGCCACCTTGGAAAGGTCTGGCCTGCCATTTTTCAAAGCCTGAGTAGCCATGCCGGTGCATGCTGACAATGATGTTTCAACGAGAGGGGCCAACCAGGTTATATGATATCTTCATGTCATCTATATAGCAATATTTAAAATATTCTATCTATATATATATATTATACACATATTGTATCTAAGTATAAATATGAATATAATGTGTATATATATATATATCTAAATCTATTTATACCACTTGCATCCTGTATATAACTTAACATTGATCATAATATATATATATATATATTATATTTTAAAAACGTAATATATGACGAGCAACTAGGCAAAGGGCGCGCAAGTCTTTACAGGACTCCATGATCTGGCGGATGGCGGTGCACCGCTTTGACAACGCATCATTCTTTCCCGTGTCATAGCCCACCCTTTTGTCGATCTTGTCATTGCACTTGTTCTTGAAACTTGTCAAGCTGCTCTTGATGTGCTGATTTGTGACTTGTGAGGATGAAGAGAGCAATGATTGAAGGTCAGTCAAAAAGGGAAGCATCTTGGCAATTTCGACCGACCACTTTTTGCTGTCTTTGAGGGACTTTGGGGCCGTCAAGAGAGTGCATGCGGATGCCTTCAAATCTAGCTCATCGACTGAAACGAGCTTTTCCCACCCATCGTGCAGACTTGGTCTTGAAGTTGCTGGCGAAGCTTGCCCTGGAGAAGGAAGAGCAACGGGAGCAGCACCACTGCCAGGAATCGCGCCATGCTCCTTCAGCATCACTGGTGCAAAGCTTTTTGCTTTGCTAGGCCCCCGACCTCTGCCAACACTTGACTTGGCCCCACCACGTGGACTGGGGGCTTCGGATCTGCAACCTCTCCCTGCTCTTTTCGGTTCCGGGGCCACACTGAAAGTCTCACCGTGGTCACCTCCCAAATTGCCCACATTCTCATCCTCATCGTCTTCAGCTTGATCCACAGCCATCTCCTGCTCATTGTCTGCCATAGCCACAGCCTGGGCGTACAGGAGCTCTGTTTCTTCATCAATATCTTCAGCCTCCATGTCAGCGTCTGCAGTTGCACGACGCTTCAGAGGTGCCGGTGTGGTTCCATCATCCACATCCATCTGGAGCTGGTTGGCTGCCGCGGCTTTCGCAATGCGGGCTTTCTCCTGCAATACCCAGCGGTGGAATGCGTGGTGCGCACCACAGAACATGGCAACAGTAGACTGTAGACCGTAGACTGTATTAAACTGCCCCCTATGCCTGCCACCTTGTATTATTTTTGTTGACAGGTCCGACTTGGAACAATTCCTTTTCCTTAAAACTTATATTGTTGGGTTAAGCTGATGATCAACAATTGATTCTGAGCTGTCTGAGCTGTCTTCTGCCTGCTGGCTCTCTGACAGATGGACACAAAGTTTGCAATTGAGCTGCCTCAACCGCGGAAAGGCAAAGGGCATCTGCCGTAGTGGCAGCACTCACGGTATCCACCATTGACTGCGCTCTGCTCTGGAAGGATCCCTCCCTGGGTGAGGCAAGTGAAGGGTGAATAAAGTCAAGTAACTTGGAAAACGTTGATACAGATTACGAATCGTATGGTTCACGTGAGAAATGTGAAATTGGCAGAGAATAGCCCTAACTCCTAACCGTTAGGCGACAACACTCGGTGATGCAGTGATTGAAGGCACAAATATAAGTTGACACTCGGCGGTTACATCCGATTGACTTTTGGTCGTTGGCTGTGTTGAAAGAAAAGCGGCCAACACCGTTGTCACATCTATGTTTTCCAGCCCAGCAGATGAAATTGCCCATGATGAGTCATGAGTCATGAGCCCCTGAGATCCTTACACTTGTCCGGATCGAAGGGCATCTAGGTCGTTATCCACAACCTGATCGCTGGTCACCTTGTTGTGGATCTGGAACTCACAATCCCAGGTTCCCTTCTTCTGTTTCGGCACGAAGACACAGTCACACGACTGGTTGGTCTCGGGGTTGATGCCTTTGGTGACCCGATGCCCATTTTTGCTTGGAGATCCGAACTCCTGGTTGCAGACTAGTCACAGTCATGCACTGATTGGGTGGAGTGTAGTGGCTAAAGCGCCCAATATTCTTCAAAATGTCTCCATGCTTGGAAATGTTACACACCCAGTCGCACACAATTCCTTGTTCTTACGCTTACCACCTACAAAACCAACACTTGGATGCACAGTTGTATGGCTGCATGTCCATGCCCAGTCCTGTTTGTACGCCGAAAGCTCCATCATTCTCCCCTTCATCTTGTTGGTGAGAACGACCTCATTGGTCTGCTTGATAGTACGAGCTCGCTTCTTCATGCGCGGGTTGCCCATCTTGATCTTCTCCATGGTATCCTCTACGTAAGTGATTCTGCCTCAGTGCAGTGAAGGTGGAAGCAGGCACTACAGCACTATGATGCAACAAAGCTTTTGGTATGTTGCGTGCTGTGTATAATGTATATTGTATTTATACATATATGTTACTAAATGCTTCTATGATGACCAAAAAAGTTACAGTAGTATATGTTGATATCCAATTGTTGGCTTTGATTCTTTGATTCGATATGAAATCAAATGGCATTGTTCGTAGATGCATACGATCTGAATCTGATTGTTTGCCCGACAATCAACAGTTGGAGACGACAGGTCGGTATTGGTTGACTGAGAACACACCTGGAGGGGAAAGATTTCAGCCCAGGTCTTCCAAGTCCGGCCAAGGGGCAGCCTTGGAACTCATCAAAGGCTCTGGGATCAGACTCCAAACGTGCAAGGATCACCTCACGCTTCTCTCCTGGGTACCCACGCTTCGCGGTGGCGTCGCAATCTCTGCAAAATTTTCCTGGATCGGCTCCCCTTTCGAATGGGGACCAACAGAGCAACACAGAACATATGATTGGTCTTTGAACCTTCTAGGCTAGGGCAGAGTTGATCTGGCAACTTTTCTGCAAAATAAAAACACATAGGAAACTGTTGATCGGGCCACAAACCTGCAATCGTTCAGAATCCGTGCGCCTTTTCATCACTACACAACCTCAAACAAAAACTTCAAAACATATCATACTGCCATTGTCTATATAGTCTAGTGCTATCACTACTGTGTTCCTAGACAATACAGTTTCAAGAAGCCTGCTGCCAAACCTCCCCCCAGTCCGAAAGCAACTGTCCTGAGGGCTGCGGAGTTGTTATGCCCATGTCCTTCATCTTCTTGGAAAGCTTATAATACCCAGGGGCCCACCTCAGAACAAAAGACTGTGAAAGCACATTCAGTCAATCAGCACACTGCCACGCTGACGCATTTTCTGTGAAGAAGTGTTGGGCAAGTCGTTATGTCAGCTTCGAATATCAAACCTTGAGCTCGTTATTTGGCACAGGTTTACTGTGCAACGCCATGTGCTGGCACCGCAACTCTACAAATAATGCAGCCTGGGTACTCCAGAAAGTCAGACGGGATGTAGGTATCTGGAGAGTGGGTGCTTCTTTTGCAGCCAGAGCACACAAGATTGAGCAATGGTTTTGGCCTGTGGGCCCTGTTGAGGATAGTGCGGATTCCCGCCGGGGTCAACTGAATTGGCACAGCACTGCTACTGCCAGCACAACCTCCGACTTCAAATTGATCAAATTCTTGCATTTCGTGCAAGTTGGTGGGCTGGGAATCCACTACGGAAAGCGGGTCTTCGTCATCCACCACGACGCCGCCCTTCTTCCGCTTGTTTGGCAACATCAACGCCATGCAGTGGGAACTTTGCGACCTCAAACTAGAAATGTTCATGGGGTGTGGGTGATGATGGGCTGTTGGCTGGGAGCAGAGTTCATGCTGAGACTGAGCTGTGGCATTACCGATACTATGAGCAGCACCCCCTGTTCTGCACTCTGTTTTCCCCCTCCTTTAGCACACCATACTATGCTGCCACTGTGCTGCCACACTTCAACGCATCGATGCACCCCTGAACATATTGCATCGCTGAAAGTTGACACATGGCTGTTGGCTGGTGCTCCAACTTCAGATTTCAATTATTGTACCGCCGGCTTTCTGGCCCAGCATGCTGCGCAGCAGGATACTACCAGTTGGCGTGACCACTTGGCCAACTGGTCAAACCACCCTACACAAACACATGTGGTGAACTGAAGGAAAAAATCAGAGAAGCAGCATTCAACACCAGAATAATTTTCAGATTCAGCTTGACACAAGCATGGAAAGCCTCAAAGCACGGGTCGCCATGGAACATACTGCGAGCTATGGGAACTGCTCGAGTGACTCTTTTGTCTGAGTCAGCCAGGTCATGTCAGAAAAGCTAAGCCATGACTTTAAGTTGGCAGAAATCATGTGTAATCAAATGCCGAATTTGCAAGCTGACTCGAGCTCAGACTGGCTTCATCGGAGCCTTCAACTTGACACAGTCGGAGACGGAGGCTGCTACAAATTCGAGCTGCCGGCTACCAACTACACGTTTCCAGCAGCCACATGCTATAAAACAACTCAGCTCTCAGAATCATACTTAAGGCTTGGTGACTTCCAAAAAAAAAAGACTATTGTGCAAACACGGTCCCAAGATCTTCCAGCTCCATGGTAGCCGGCAAAATCAGCAGCGCTTGACCCATTGCGGACAAGCCCCATTAATTTTCCTCCGAACATGCCAGCCTTTCTCAAGCATCATGCTCCGGATGAAATTCATCTGGATCAACTTGTACTTCTTGAAATTGGTGAATCTCATGGGGCGCAAGTAGGGGTCCATGGTGCCAAAAAACTCATACTCAATCTCTTGGAGGTCTTTGGAAAACTCCTTACCCTTGCCTTTGGGGCCACAAATGATCTTGTAATCGGAGATGTTCTGCTGCTTCTGCTTCAAAGCCTTGGACCGGGCTCCTTGGACGGGCTTTCGGCTTTTGGAGACCTAGCTAGCCAGTGTCTGACCCCAAGGCAATGAAACATCTTTGGCACTGAAAAAGCTGGATTTTACTGTTGCATAGGAGGCATAGGAGCTGTACAAGTCTGTATTTGGTCTACCTGACTTCCTTTAGTTTGAAGCGTGCGTCTGGCAAGTCCTCCCTCTCCCTCATAGAAAAATGATGGGAAGTGATGAGGCTCTTGTATCCATTATATGGCTCACAGTATGAATGTGGTGGATCCTTCTAGTCGATCTAGATGAAACCAACCCACCAAGTTACTGTATCCTGGCTTTTTCTTCGGGGCAGCAGGTGCAGGTAAAGGCTCACTGTGATCTCCCTCTCTGATGATTGGGATATCCATAGGCATTGGCAGGCCAAGACCCAAACCCGCTCCAAGAACAGGTGGCGCCGGGGTGCGAAGAATAGGTGGGAGGGTAGGCTGCGGCGGCCCAATGCTGCCAGCGCCCACACCTGGCAGGTTGAAAACAATCAGCGATAACCAATGTATCAATATGTTCGGCTGATTTTGCAAAATCAAAGTTTCAATCTGTACCTTGTTTGCTTGCCCAAAGTCAAAGTACCGGTTTCCCAGATGGACACCCGTGCCGCCCATGTCCGCCAAGCAGGTTGACTAGTATCGCATTCTGCAGAAAGAAAATACAGAGAATATCAGAGAATAAATGCACACATATACTACAGACAGTTTCCTATCATATATCATATATGCATGATTGATAATATTTCTTGTTTAAACAAGATTCACTTAAACATGTGTATGTATGCAATGTATGCGTCTTGATTTTTTTACTCGCACACCACACACCTCCTCCAAGATGAAGACCTGAAGAAGCAATGCCACTGCTCTCACCCCGGCTGGATGATGATGGCCCTGATGCTACAAGTGGCCTGCCACCATCATCATCATCCACCATTTCAAAGCCACCAAGGGAAATCACGTCATCATGGTCCGAAGCACGTGTGGGCGCACTACCACTTCCAGTGCCACCACTCAGCCGGTTTACCAAGAACCAAGGAGATCGAGCAAACATGGTCTGGAAAAAACGGCGGGCTTGTGCCTACAGCACTTGTTTACTTACTTCTGCTTGCCAGCCTGCCTGGTTTGGTTTGGGCAAAAAGATTTCCCTCGGGCATGGCATCTTGCACAGGTATACGGTATAGATACGAACGTAAATGATATGATGGAACCCGACTGGCTGCTGGCCCACAGTCACACACACTCTCCAAAGCAGCCTCGACATTCACATGAGGCTGAGCACCGCACTGGGGTCAGCGGCTTTCACGCTTGAATGCAGGTTGAAGTTGAAAAGTCTTCGGTCTTCAAGAGCAAGAGACCCAAGACAACTAGTGGAAATGAGCCCAAAATGATTGCAAACAAAGGATGTACAACCTGAAACCAGCGAAGCTGTCACTCTGCCAGATGCCCAACCCGGCGCGGCCATCTTTCAGCAAATAGCATGTGACAAGTATTGCGCCTACTCCATGAGTTTCCTTCAGCATCAACTTGGGAAACAAAATTCACAACTAGCGGCCACTGAGGGTGTGATCCGCGCCTTCCCCTTTTTGAATCTCTTGGAACATTGCATTTCCATGAAACACGATAGCAATCCAGCAGCTGGGCCATCAAATCACTTGTTTGTTTCCCGGTTTCTTTGCTGCTTCCTCCAAGAACCCAAAAAAACAACCAGTTTTACACCTCAAAGGAGAAAACTAACAAAAGAAACTTGTTGGTTGGAAATTGAGCATATGTGTCACAATTCCTTTTCACCAAACAAATGAATCAGAAACAACATGTTTCTTTTGTTTCCTTCAAAACATCAAAAACGAGCTCCGGCAATTTGTGGCACTATCTTGTCTTGCCTAAAAGTGATTTGCCGAACATAGTGTTTTTGCTGTTTTCTTGTGAATCTCAAAAAAAAGCTGTGGCACTATGTGGCACTATGTCGCCCTATATTTCTTTGCCACCCAAAAAAAATATTGGCAAAACCTTTGTTTTTGCTGTTTTCTTGGGTTTCTCAAAAAACAACTGTGGCACTATGTGGCATTCTGTGGCACTATCTTGTTTTGTCAAAAAAGGACAAAATCACCAAAAAAATCATTGTTTTTGCCATTTTCTGCACAATCCCCAAAACCAGCTGTGGCACTATGTACTATGTGGCACTATGTGGCACTATCTTGTTTTGCCCAAAAGTGGCAAAATTGCCAAAAACATTGTTTTTTTGTTTTCTTGGAAATCTCAAAAAACAGCTGTGGCACTCTGTGGCACTATGTGGCACTATCTTGTTTTGCCCAAAAGTTGCAAAATTCCAAAAACAGTGTTTTTTTGCTGTTTTCTCGGAAATCTCAAAAAACAGCTGTGGCACTATGTGGCACTATGTGGCACTATCTTGTTTTGCCCAAAAGTGGCAAAATTGCCAAAAACAGTGTTAAAATTGCCAAAAACCGTGTTTTTTGTTGTTTTCTTGGAAATCTCAAAAAACAGCTGTGGAACTATGTGGCACTATCTTGTTTTGCCCAAAAGTTACAAAATTGCCAAAAACAGTGTTTTTTGCCGTTTTCTTGGAAATCTCAAAAACCAGCTGTGGCGCTATGTGGCACTATGTGGCACTATGTGGCACTATCTTGCTTTGCCCAAAAGTGGCAAAATTGCCAAAAACAATGTTTTTTGTTGTTTTCTTGGAAATCTCAAAAAACAGCTGTGGCACTATGTGGCACTATGTGGCACTATCTTGTTTTGCCCAAAAGTGTCAAAATTTCCAAAAACAGTGTTTTTTTGCTGTTTTCTTGGAAATCTCAAAAAACAGCTGTGGCACTATGTGGCACTATGTGGCACTATCTTGTTTTACCCAAAAGTGGCAAAATTGCCAAAAACAGTGTTTTTTGCTGTTTTCTTGGAAATCTCAAAAAACAGCTGTGGCACTATGTGGCACTATGTGGCACTATCTTGTTTTGCCCAAAAGTGACAAAATTGCCAAAAACAGTGTTTTTTGCTGTTTTCTTGGAAATCTCAAAAAACAGCTGTGGCACTATGTGGCACTATGTGGCACTATCTTGTTTTGCCCAAAAGTGACAAAATTGCCAAAAACAGTGTTTTTTGCTGTTTTCTTGGAAATCTCAAAAAAACAGCTGTGGCACTATGTGGCACTATGTGGCACTATCTTGTTTTGCCCAAAAGGTACAAAATTGCCAAAAACAGTGTTTTTTGCTGTTGTCTTGGAAATCTCAAAAAACAGCTGTGGCACTATGTGGCACTATGTGGCACTATCTTGTTTTGCCCAAAAGTGGCAAAATTGCCAAAAACAATGTTTTTTGTTGTTTTCTGAGAAATCTCAAAAAACAGCTGTGGCACTATGTGGCACTATGTGGCACTATGTGGCACTATCTTGTTTTGCCTAAAAGTGTCAAAATTGTCAAAAACAGTGTTTTTTGTTGTTTTCTTGGAAATCTCAAAAAACAGCTGTGGCACTATGTGGCACTATGTGGCACTATCTCGTTTTGCCCAAAAGTGGCAAAATTTCCAAAAACAGTGTTTTTTGTTGTTTTCTTGGAAATCTCAAAAAGCAGCTGTGGCACTATGTGGCACTATGTGGCACTATCTCGTTTTGCCCAAAAGTGGCAAAATTGCCCAAAACATTGTTTTTTTGCTGTTTTCTTGGAAATCTAAAAAACCAGCTGTGGCACTATGTGGCACTATGTGGCACTATCTTGTTTTGCCGAAAAGTTGCAAAATTGCCAAAAACAATGTTTTTTGTTGTTTTCTGAGAAATCTCAAAAAACAGCTGTGGCACTATGTGGCACTATCTTGTTTTGCCCAAAAGCGGCAAAATTGCCAAAAACAGTGTTTTTTGTTGTTTTCTTGGAAATCTCAAAAAACAGCTGTGGCACTATGTGGTACTATGTGGCACTATGTGGCACTATGTGGCACTATGTGGCACTATCTTGTTTTGCCCAAAAGTGGCAAAATTGCCAGAAACAGTGTTTTTTGCTGTTTTCTTGGAAATCTCAAAAAACAGCTGTGGCACTATGTGGCACTATCTTGTTTTGCCCAAAAGTGGCAAAATTGCCAAAAACAATGTTTTTTGCTGTTCTCTTGGAAATCTCAAAAAACAACTGTGGCACTATGTGGCACTATGTGGCACTATCTTGTTTTACCCAAAAGTGGCAAAATTGCCAGAAACAGTGTCTTTTGCTGGTTTCTTGGAAATCTCAAAAAACAGCTGTGGCACTATGTGGCACTATGTGGCACTATCTTGTTTTGCCCAAAAGTTACAAAATTGCCAAAAACAATGTTTTTTGTTGTTTTCTGAGAAATCTCAAAAAACAGCTGTGGCACTATGTGGCACTATGTGGCACTATCTTGTTTTGCCCAAAAGTGTCAAAATTGTCAAAAACAGTGTTTTTTGTTGTTTTCTTGGAAATCTCAAAAAACAGCCGTGGCACTATGTGGCACTATCTTGTTTTGCCCAAAAGTGGCAAAATTGCCAAAAACAGTGTTTTTTGTTGTTTTCTTGGAAATCTCAAAAAACAGCTGTGGCACTATGTGGCACTATGTGGCACTATCTTGTTTTGCCCAAAAGTGGCAAAATTGCCAAAAACAGTGTTTTTTGTTGTTTTCTGAGAAATCTCAAAAAAACAGCTGTGGCACTATGTGGCACTATGTGGCACTATCTTGTTTTGCCCAAAAGTGGCAAAATTGCCAAAAACAGTGTTTTTTTTGTTTTCTTGGAAATCTCAAAAAGCAGCTGTGGCACTATGTGGCACTATGTGGCACTATGTGGCACTATGTGGCACTATCTTGTTTTGCCCAAAAGTGGCAAAATTGCCAGAAACAGTGTTTTTTGCTGTTTTCTTGGAAATCTCAAAAAACAGCTGTGGCACTATGTGGCACTATGTGGCACTATCTTGTTTTGCCCAAAAGTGGCAAAATTGCCAAAAACAGTGTTTTTTGTTGTTTTCTTGGAAATCTCAAAAAACAGCTGTGGCACTATGTGGCACTATGTGGCACTATCTTGTTTTGCCCAAAAGTGGCAAAATTGCCAAAAACAGTGTTTTTTGTTGTTTTCTGAGAAATCTCAAAAAAACAGCTGTGGCACTATGTGGCACTATGTGGCACTATCTTGTTTTGCCCAAAAGTGGCAAAATTGCCAAAAACTGTGTTTTTTGTTGTTTTCTGAGAAATCTCAAAAAACAGCTGTGGCACTATGTGGCACTATGTGGCACTATCTTGTTTTGCCCAAAATTGGCAAAATTGCCAAAAACAGTGTTTTTTGTTGCTTTCTTGGAAATCTCAAAAAACAGCTGTGGCACTATGTGGCACTATGTGGCACTATCTTGTTTTCCCCAAAAGTGGCAAAATTGCCAAAAACAATGTTTTTTGCTGTTTTCTTGGAAATCTCAAAAAAAAACTGTGGCACTATGTGGCACTATGTGGCACTATCTTGTTTTGCCCAAAAGTGGCAAAATTGCCAAAAACAGTGTTTTTTGTTGTTTTCTTGGAAATCTCAAAAAACAGCTGTGGCACTATGTGGCACTATGTGGCACTATCTTGTTTTGCCCAAAAGTGGCAAAATTGCCAGAAACAGTGTTTTTTGCTGTTTTCTTGGAAATCTCAAAAAACAGCTGTGGCACTATGTGGCACTATGTGGCACTATCTTGTTTTGCCCAAAAGTGGCAAAATTGCAAAAAAACAGTGTTTGTTGTTGTTTTCTTGGAAATCTCAAAAAACAGCTGTGGCACTATGTGGCACTATGTGGCACTATCTTGTTTTGCCTAAAAGTGTCAAAATTGTCAAAAACAGTGTTTTTTGTTGTTTTCTTGGAAATCTCAAAAACAAGCTGTGGCACTACGTGGCACTATGTGGCACTATCTTGTTTTACCCAAAAAATGCCAAATTAGCCAAAAACAATGATTTTTGTTGTTTTCTTGGAAATCTCTAAAACAAACTGTGGCACTATCTTGTTTTGCCAAAACATGAGAAGATTGCAAAAAACTGTGTTTTTTGCTGTTTTCTTGGAAAGCCAAAACCAGCTGTTATATGGCACGATCTTGCTTTGCCCAAAAAGTTGCAAAATTGGCAAGCACCGTTGATTTAGCTTTTTTAGAAAAATATCAAAATCCAGTTGTGGCACTATGTGGCACTATCTTGTTTTGCTCAAAAATTTCAAAATTAGCAAAACCTCCGTTTTTGCTGTTTTCTCAGAAATCTAAAACAACAACTCTGGCACAAAAACTTGGTTTTGGTGTTTTCCTGGAAAACATCACAACCAGCTGTGTCACTATGCAGCGCTATCTTGTTTTCCCAAAAAAATGCAAAAATTAAAAGAAACTACGTTCTTGAAGTTTTCCTTGAAAACATCAAAGCAACAGTCATGACACTATGTGGTAGTTATGCCCTGACAAAACCAGCAAACACATGATTTTTTCAGGGTAGCAGGTAGCAGCATCTATTGATTTCGCTGATGGGTGGTCACTTCACTTTGTTCGATGGCTCAAAGACTGAAAAGCCCTGCGAGCATTGCTGGCTATTCAAACTGGCTCGGTGCGAAATCAATTTCCACAACATGTTCGCACTCCCCGAACAAGTCATGGATCTCACATTGAGGAATTCCATGCTTCCTTGCGGCCACGGCCTTGTTGACAACTCTCGTCTCCAGAATCTTCCGTGGCTTGAGCTTGGTTGATGGATCATAGCCTTAATCCAACAAGGCCAGACATGTTCACAGACATGCTGACTGAAAGCGAATGGACATCAAACAGAAACCCTTTCAAACAAAGAATAAGATGGAAAGGAAACCAATCAAGCAAAGTATGCACAAGACATGAACTGCTTTCGGCTCAGGATTCACAGCAAGAGACCCAATGAAAACACAATGTGCGTTGAATTCTTCAGTCGTGATCTCCAATATTGATTGAAAGACCTCACCTCTGTTGTCTTCACACCATCTCTGATGGCCTCATACCACTTCCTTTTCAAGTGGATGTGAATGGTGCGAACAGCCTTGACAACATTTCCACTGGGTTCACCCTGTTTGCGCTCATGGTCTGGACGTTCAATCTGTTCCACCTGCGCAAGCAGAGACTGACATCCTGAGGACAAGATCAGCTCCATAAAGGATGCAAATGGTAGATAAACACTACAGATAGTTTCTCATCCCCCATCTGTCTGTCTATATGATCGAAACATGATTGCGAGCACCATCCAAACTGTGATTGGCTACTGGCAGCCCACACTAATTTGAGAACAATTGATAAACTGAAAGGCCGATGTGGTCACGAATGAAAGAATGACACAGCTGACAGTTTGGTCTGCTCAGTCTGCTCCATAAGAGTGCACCGCTTTCTGTACAGGGGTCCTGACTTGCATTGACGCTGATGACGACGACTCTGCTGCGTTCACGGTCTCCTGTCCAAGGGCAAGGGTGGTGAGCAGTGGAAATGAAGTATTCAGCAGTCGGATGGCAATGTTGCAAAAACAACGGCTGGCTGCTACTGCAAACCCAGTTTGTCTGGGGTTTCACTCCTGAAGTCCTTGACCAACTTTAACAGGAATTACCTCAATTACAGACATGCGTCGCCGTCGCTCACATATTTTGGATTGGAGACAAACCACAGAGTCGCAGAGTCACAGGAGGAAGTTCGCAATCAAATCAGCAAAAACATCCATATCAAGTAAGAATCTCAACTCAGCATAAGAATAACATTCATCTTATCTTGACTTGTTTTTCAGCCGTGCCTCTATAATAGTAGCAAGTAATAGATAATATAGTAATGAGGTAAATGTTATATAATTGTTAGTTCCCCAGGCAGAAATAAAGGCCAAAAAGAAAATGAAGGATCCACAGGTACGTACCAACAAAAACCCAACATAGGCCCAACATAGCCCCGACATGACCCAAAAACAGCGTGTTCATTTGGGTCTTAATGCCAAGGCCCAAATGAACACGCCGTTCTTGGCCCAACATGGGCTCAACATAGGCTCAGCATAGGGGTCCCACATAAGCCCAACATGGCCATCAAGCTCAAAATGGCCACAACATGGCCCCCAAGCGCCCAACATGGTCCAACATAGGGCCAACATAGGCCCCACGTAGGCCGAACATGGCCCCGACATGGCCCAAAAACGGCGTGCTCATTTGGGTCTTAATGCCAACGCCCAAATGAACACGCCGTTCTTGGCTGAACATAAGCTAAATATTAAACAAATTCATGTATATCTGCATTTATTGTGCTCACTACGTTACGAAATAATTGGTTGATCCGACCCCAGAACCAGCCCGACAGGGAAATCATAATTATATATATATATCAATAATAATAAACAAATATATATATATATACATTAAATTTAAAGTATATATAGATAAAGAGATATTTTCCCAACATGGTCAGAAAGCGCTGGCCTCCAATGGATCTGCGCCGTCATCTTCCACATGATCCATTCACGGTACTGGCACTCGACTAGACCAGGCAGGCCGGTCAATGAAAGAGTTCTTTGTAGCGTGCGTACACATGGGAAACATGTGCTGCAAAACTGGAAAGTGTCTGATCTAACTCAACCAAAAAATGATCAGGAATCAAGAGTGCAGCCGAACAATCTACAGACAGTCTACTGTCTACCGGTCTATAAATCTTTGATGGCTCCGGACCAAGAAACATCCAAAGACTAAAGGGCATGGCACCAGCCCCTTGGACAGTGCTGACAATGCTGCCAATGCTGCCCTGTTGAAGCATGCCAGTCATGGAGAAGCCAAATTCTGACTTGGGACCGGAACTCCTTTTCACTCCCCGGGATCGAAGCAAGAAGCTTCTGAATTCAATGAAACGATGATGAAACCTTTCGAAGCTCGGCGTGGACGTGACCTGGACGTGAATCTTGCACTGAAATCACATCTACAGCCCAAATGAGGCCTTCCAATTTAAAATTGACATGCCTGAGTTTTCAAACTTCCTTGCGTAAAATCACAGTCCAGCAGTGTCACATTATCTCCTACCGAGCCGCTTCTTGTATGTACCAGCGGGAATAAACTTTCCATGATCTTTCTCAGATTTGAATGACGGACCTTGCCCTAGCCACTGTACAAGCGAGTCTTCTGAGACATCATGGCCTAATAATGGCGCAGTTGTGTAGCAATCTTCATGGATTGCGCACACCGCCAGGATGGCTGGCGGTGTCCAATGGGTGAAATACGAAATTTGCCCGCTTTTAACGGACCCTGTGAAGACAGTTGACCCAACACGTTTCACTTCCCCTTTCACTGGCAGTTTGACGATCATGTGTTCCAAGTCAGGTGAGTCTGCCCCAAAAAGATCATCTAGATCAGCTTCAACTTGCATTTCATCGTTCTTGTCTCGCAGCCAATCGTCTGCCTGAGAGCTATGGAGTGTGGGCAGCCAGCTGGCTCACTGTTGTTTGTTGCTCATTGGTTGTGAAAATCGGTGTCAGTGGGGGGAATTTCAACTCAGAGTTTCAAACGCAAGTAATTCGGGAAACGGAATCGCATGAAACCGTCGCGACATAGTGATCAAAAGTTCGGAAGCATATAAACTTTGGTCACTTGGTTTCGTAACCAAAAGACTGCCCCAACCGAAGTTGCAACGCAAGTGAGAAGAAGGTGCGATAACGCACTATGCAGAATGCCGAAGGATAGAAGCTATATGACTGGCAGCCCCCACCTCCGAGAAATCTGGAACTTCCTCTCCTGGTTCCAGAATCTCATCAAGTGGGTCAATGTCGTCGTCCTCGCCCTTGCTACCTGGCACTTCTGCCACTGGCCACCTCAACTCACATTGAGATTGAAGCCAGCTTTGATCTGTCATGAATGATGGGCAAGGGCCAGAGGGTCATCCGTCATCCCAATCATGTCGTCAAATGTCATAATCATGAATAAGAATGAAATCATGATCAACGATAATCTAAAAACATACAGCATAATACAGCATACAAGCAATGTGTTTCAGTCAATGGCTTTCAGCTTCAGCTATCTAAGATCTAATAAATTGCGTTTAAGGTGTAGCACAAGCACTAAGCACTAAGCGACCCACACTGCAGCTGTTTTCTCTGGAACCTTGTCCAGGTCACCTTTTGCAAGGATCGATGACATGAACCTGCAATCGGCAATCGGAAAAGCTGAGTCAAATCTGACCTGCGTCAACATAAAGCTTGGGGCTGGGGCTTCGGGCTTGAAACACATAACAACCGTCACAACCCACAAAATTCATTGTATAACTAGATCCACCTTCAACCTATTCAATTGAGGGGCAGAGACGGCGGAGAACAGTCAAAAGTCACACAATATAATTTACAGACAGCATAAGCCAGGCACTCCCAGCATAAGCCCAAACTTGCCTGGGGCAAGACTCGTACTCGATGATTTCTAGCCACACACAGGGGTCACCATTGTGGGACTTCTCAAGGAGCTCTGCTAACACACAGCGTGTAGACTGGATCCTAAACGTCTCTGGAACACGTAGACAATTTGGAGCCGAATCTTCCCTGTGGCACTCTATCAGAATTCCCAGGTGCGGTTTCAAGATGGCCTTTGCCTCGAACAGGACAGCATTGCAACCAGTAATAAACAAGTTGGCCCGACGCCATTGCAGCAAGATGACGACACTGAAAAAATCATGAAAAACAAGGCCGGACAAGATACGATTAAGAAAAACCTGCTGCCCTCAAAATCGTCAGTGTCAGGGAGAGGGTCTTCGGAACTAGCTGATGAAGAGCTGGCGCGGCCACCAAACCTCCAAGAGACTCTGATGAGAGCATCTCCTGCCACTAGAACCTCCTTCCCAGGCCCGTCCCCATACAAAGTCGTCAGCTGCCGTCTCAATTCCCGAAACATCTGGGAATGGAGAGGTGCAAGTTTGTTGAAAAACTTGTGGGATCTGCACATTCCACATTTGGAACAATGGGGAACAAAGGTCCGTGAGTCTGTTTCCAAAGACTTTTGCTGCAGATCGGAGCTGGGTTCCCTCACTTCCATCAGGTCTCTGAAGTTCTTCTGCGCAGATGTGCGGTTGTGCCCATATTGCCTGCAGCAGCAGATTGCACCACACATCCAAGTCACATCGCAATCTTAGATCAAGTCCAAGTAATGATGATATACAGCTTATAGAACCGTATATTATATATACTGTATTTTTTACAAATTTTGAAAAAACTCTGACCACTCAGTGGGACATGAGTACTAGCCAATGGGACAGCATGAGGATTGACTATGGCCCGACTATGGCCATGAATCAGTGATTCACGATTCTAACTCTCATCTGAAAGAGCCCTTCGCTTCGGACTGTTCATGACTCTGCCTGCCAGTTCCAGCCTCTGGCTCTGAACAAATCTAACAATCCCAGTGAGAGAGCATGCCTGTGCAATTTTGACCGCCGAAACCCCCAGCACAGTCAGATCACCCGTGGATGGAGTGGTTTGCCCACATCCAGCCAACCACAAAACTACCATATTTCCATCTAAAAGACAAACTATAACTTTACCGTGCCTCACCTGGAATTGGAATCAGTCAGGGATCAGCGGTAGAAATGTCAGAATACCAGTGTGAGTATGCGTCATTTGTATCATCGGATAGAAGTGGCCCCGCAGCCGCATCCCCATCCCCTTGTTCGGGGCCAGAAGATCCGAAATGGTTCTCCGTCTCGAATTCATGCTCAGCCTGAATCCGAGGCCCGTTGGCTTCTTGAATCTCAATGTCAATCAAATTGATATTGTTCGAATTTGGGCTAAATCGGATGTCCCAAGCATGCTCAATGGTTGGAGCTGGTTGGTACGTCAACTCTGGCGAGTCCTGTCCAGAGACATCCACCAACAAGTGTGTGTTGGCTGGAACAAGCAGCTCAAAAACCCTGCTGAAACTGTAGCTCTGACGCTGGCCCGATGAGGTATTGCGATCATTGAGGTGGCTGCTCGCGATAGCACTGGCACTAGCAAAGGTATTGGAAAGCCGAAAATCAGTGGCACCTGAACCGGAACCTCGATCCCTGCAAGCCTCACTGCCAAGCTTTCCACACTCCGAAACATGGCCTGAATCACCACTCCCAGATGCAGGGGCTGACTGCGCAACTGCAACCTTTCTACCCGGTGACAAATCCATCGTGACCGTAACTATTACATCCGAATCAGACCTTGAACCATATTGTCTAAGAAGGCAAGCGCTATCTCGATTCTGGGCCTTGTCGGAATGGTCCTTTCCGACAGTACCGCTTTCATGCTGGGAAGAAATCTCAAGCTCAGACAAAGAACCCAAACTGGCCATTGTTGTTTCTGCACCGCTCAATTTCTGGCAAACTCGACGGGGACACAACGATGACAGACCAAGCATTCTCTTCATGGCAGCTATCAAGGAAACACCGCAAACGTCACGGGGCAGCTACCTTGCAAGAAAATATGGCCAACTGCCAACTGCCAGCAATTTTGAGCCATGAAATCTTTTGGAATAATATCTTGGGTCCCAATTAAATTTTGGAGTACAGCCGAGCTATGAACCTGTCACCGGTGGAAACAAAAATCCTGCATGCTGCATGCACCTTCTTTCGGTTACGTCATGTCATGTATATGTCGAATGTCTGAGAAAGATTGGAGAAGAAAGGATAGGGTTCATCAGGAGGTTTGAAAACTGCCAATGCAAGTCGGCTTAGAACCCTCGCGGCCTCATCTCTTTCACTTCAGAAGCCAGGATGGGGTATTCCACACTGCATGGGCAGCTCCACAGCCTGAATTTGCAAAATCTGAGCACATGAAAAACAACATCAAGGAAAAAAACCTGCATTAAACGACTAGTCCAGCTGAGACATTTACCCTCGCAAACCAGGCCCTTGCTCCAAATCTTCAGATTCCTGCTGCACATATCATGCAAGAGAGAATGTTTTTTATTTCCTTTTGGAGTTTTCTTGGAAGAAAAAATCATCGGATTCCTCGGATAACATCCATTATCTGACTTGATCCTACCTACAAGTTGATCACCGGCAATCGATCACAACGCCCCTGGACTTGACATAGACAAAACCACAAGTCCTTCTGAGCCTTTTCTTTTTCCTTTCCAGCTTTTTTCAAGCCTGTAAAGAAATCACGCTTTGCTTGCTTGACCGCTGCGTTCTCGGCTTTGGCCAACTTCTTCATGGATTGTAGAGCCGCAGGAATTTCCTGGCCAACATCCCACCCCAACATCCATAGACCACAGAAGTATGAAAATCGGTCAATGATTATCATTCAGACTGCTCACGATTCTACACGGTGATTTTGATGTTGGGTCTTACCACGGGCTATGGCTTGAATATGAATTGTGGCTCATGCTATGGTTCTGAATCTTCAAAGTATGGAATTCTGGAACTACAAAGTCAAAAAACAACAAAAAGAATCTATGCATCTAGGCAACCTCGGCCCTAGAAGAAAGCAACTGTGGAGTCTTGACTCTTGATCCAAACAAGTCCTGCAGGGCCGCTCTCCGGAAGTCTTTGAAAGCAGGGGAGGCCATGCCCCGTGCAATCTCTGCACCTAAAAGCAAAAGCTCGCCGCAATGCAATGGTCAGAAAACAAACCACGGCAGCAACTGACTGGGGAGATCAGGCCACAAGGTCACAAGTTGCAGTTTCAGTACCAAACTTCCGACGCTTCTATTCTTTATCTATTCTTTGACGCTGACAGTGAACTCAACTTGACTGTTGTATGTTCTGGCTCATCTTACCTGAGGCGCTTACGGTCTGAGCAGACTTCCTTGAACTGTGCCCATAGGGTTTTGTTCGCAAAGTGCATACAATTCTTTCTCCCGGCTACAGTGAGACAGTCATCGTCTACATCGCCATCATCTGCTGCCGGCCCCTCTGCTCCCAAATCAGAAGAGCTGCCTGGGCTATGACTCAAGAAGCTGGGACCAGGTCATCAATCATCATTCATGGCCTGTTCAAAGAAAGAAAAATCTACAGTCTGGAGAATGCGGTCTACACCAACCATCACTAACCATTCTCCAATCTTCTGTAGGCTACAGCCAAACAAAAACACGCAATACCTGGCTGACCCACCACAATTTGGGCCTTTCTTTCTGTACTTGGAAATGTCCTTGATCACCAACCTTCTGTCTTTCTTCTTTCTCTGCGTCTTGGTTGAGAAGCCCGTATCTTTTGACCTTGTGGCTCTTACTCTGTGATTTTGCGGGCTATAATGGCTTGAAGTGAGCTGCCGACCAAGCTTTCGAACAAGACAGCAAAATTTACATACAGCATTGGCATTGCATGCAATACAATCGATACGATACGATACAATACTGAATACTGACAATACAATACAATGCAAGACAAGACAAGACAATACAATACTGGCACTTGGCAGTAAAGGCTCGAAGGGCCTTGAGAGTGTTTAAAGGGCTCAAGGCCTCACGATTCCTAACCAACTCGACCCTACTCATGCAATCAAATTCCACACTCTGGCTTGCAGCATGGCAGCCCTGAGGCCCCCGACTTCGGAACTCTCATCGTGATTTTGTGCTTTTGCATGATGCTGTTCAAAACAGCATTGGCGGATATCAGTGGGAAACCTTTTGCATTCCCCAAATTGGTGCTGCTGCTGGACACTGTTTGGTTGTATCTGTGGGCACATTCTAAATTGAATATACCCAATCTGCATGAATGAGAGGCAGATGTCGCAACTCTCACAAACAGATCGTTGACTTTGGCCTCTGATTCTGGCGAGGTTTCTGCCATTTTCACCAAAGCCTCAGTCCACGCGGCTGCGCTGGGTCAGCAACAAGAACTTTTCTGATTGATGTTCCCTTAGGTCTTGATGAAGATCAAGTAACCTACGCAGCCTGGCTTATAGCCTAGCCGCTCTAGCCAGCAAAACTAAGTTTTCCAAAATCACATGGACATGTCCCAGATCAAATTCTTGCGGTAAGCGACAATCAGCAGACAGTGTCTGCATCTGCAACTAGGTGACTGGCTCGTCTCAATGGGCGTCCAAAACCAGGATCTTGGCAACAGTCTTTGGCCCTCCAGAATCCTTCCACCCTCTCTGCGCCTCAAGAGGCTTGCCGGTGGCACACGCACAAACACACGCCTAATGTCACAAGTGGTCCCGCACATCACATGACTCATGTGACTC